GAGTCTGTTCTGTGCACTTCAATAACTGTCTGGTTTGGTTCAGCTACAAAATCAGACATCAGAAGACTACAGAGAACGGTTCGGACTGCTGAAAGGATTATTGGTGCCCCCCTGCCCACCCTCCAAGAACTGTATACATCCAGAGTGAGAAAAAGGGCTCAGAAAATCACTTTGGATCCCTCACATCCAAGCCATCTCCTTTTTGAACTGTTGCCATCTGTTCGGCGTTACAGAGCACCGAAGACCAGGACAGCCAGGCACAAGAACAGTTTCTTTCCCCAGGCAATCTACCTCATGAACAGTTAATGTTCTCCCATTGTGCAATAAAATATGTGCAATAACCTTATACTTATCACCCTACATTCTAGTACATCCCTACAACTTTACTTTTTATTCTATTTATATCCTATTTTATCTATAGCACACCAGTACATATTTAGTTTTTTTTTTTTATATACATATGTGTATTTTATTCACATCTTATTTTTATTATCTGTGTTTTGTTGTTGCCTCTGTGTACTGGAAGCTTGTGACACTAAAACAAATTCCTTGTATGTGCAAACATACTTGGCAATAAAGCTCTTTATGACTTCTTCAGTGGCACTCCAGTAACAGGTTTAGGCACCCTGATCTAGTCCATTATGTTATACATTATTTATATAAAAACAAACATGACAGCAGTTTGGTTAGGCAGTAGCTTCTTACCACCACCCCAACGCCCACCAGTCTAAGTCCCTGTCCTGCAAGGAAATTACATATGACATCCTTATCGCATCCTCTCCCAGTAGACTGTGGCTCTCCGTCTTCCTTCTTCCAACTGCTCAGGCAGGGACATGTGCCAAGAACCTTGTTTTATCATGTTTCAGTTAAATTAAGAAAATTTGTATGCACAGTAGTCAACATTTGAAGTGGATTAAAACCTTTAATCAAAATTGTCCTAAAACCAAAACAATATCCGTTCTTGTCTTAAAACAACTTTGATGAACTTTTCTGATCCACTTCAAGTGATGAATACTGTACTTTATTATTCTGTCTCCAAGTCTTTCATTCAGCACTGATCTGGATCATTATTTTAAAGTAAAAAACATGGTAACTTTACATTAATTACTCAACCGTTACCTCATCACAATGCAAGAACTATATATAACATAAAACAACAGCAGTGATTGGGTCTAACTTTTTTAATGCAAGCACTAAAACATTTCCATTGAATCATAAAATAAAACCAAACATAATCTCTAAAATTAAACAATGCCACGGTTGTGTCAGGAGGAAGGCGAAGGAGACAGCTGGTGCAAACCAAACTCTCAGTTTAATAACAAAAGGCAGAAGGACAATGGGAAACACAAGGTAGAATAACTGTGACCGGACAAACAAAGACTGAACAGACTGGGGCTTAAATACAAGACAAACAAGGGTAATTAACTAGACACAGGTGATACAGGTAAACTAATAATTAAACAATGAGCAAGGGAACTAATGAACACAGGAACATGACCAAATAAGGAAAAACAGGAACCAAACAGGAAACACAAAGAAAACTATGACAAAACAAACTGAACATGTGACATTACTCCCCCCTCCCAAAAGGCGCGTCCCGCGCCGTAACAATTCCACCGGGGAGGGGGGGCGTCCTGGAGGCTGGTGCAGGATGGGGACAAGGAATGCCTCCAGGGCGGATCAGGCAGTTCAGGAGGCCATGGCGGAGCAGGCAGACCAGGAGGCCATGGTAAAGCAGACAGTTCAGGAGGCCATGGCGGAGCAGACAGTTCAGAAGGCCATTGCAGAGCAGCCTCCGAGGGCCTCTACGGCTGGAGCCCTACTAGCATGTAGCACACACTTCTGGAATAAAATTATTTACTCTTTTACAAAATGTCTATTAACATGCCATTTGTCTTCTCTTTTTCATTGGTGCTAAAACTGGTTCCTGTGTAAACAACAGCTGCAGCGGTCACCAAAGTCAGACAGTTTTTGCCTTTTTTGAAACAGAACATAGGCTTCCAACTCAGTGACGACAGCCGTATCAACAAGTTTTCTATCCACGCCACACTTTTGATATGCCTCAGTTTTGCTTGCTCTTTTTGACAAAGTTTAGGACCTTTTTTTGTAACCAGCTATGACTTGCTGGTAAAAAATAATGACAAAGAACAACTTTGTTTTATTAATTATGTACTTTAATTCAGCAATATCACTCAAAGCATTGTTATACCACTAAAATTAATCAAAATGTATTTACAGGAAACCTCTGCTGAATGTGTGCAACATTTGAGCCGTGAGATGGCACTGCATGAGAAACCATCGTCAACCACATAAACGTCTTCTCACCAGACAGTTCATGATAAGTTTTGTTGTGAAGCTCTTTCTACACAGTTAGCAGGTGTATGGCTTCTCTCTGGTGTGAATTCGCATGTGCCTGTTAAAGCTTCCTTGCTGAGTGAAACTGATTCCACACTGAGAGCATGCGTAAGGCTTCTCGCCAGTGTGGATGCTCATGTGGCTTTTAAGGGTTCCTTTTACTGAAAAACATTTTCCACACTGTTGACAGGTGAAAGGCTTCTCTCCCGTGTGAATCCTCATGTGGACTTTAAGGTTTCCATGTTCAATGAAACATTTTCCACACCGTTGGCAAACGAAAGGCTTCTCTCCGTCATGAATCCTCATGTGGACTTTAAGGTTTCCATGTTGAGTGAAACTCTTTCCACACTGTTGGCAGGTGAAAGGCTTCTCTCCAGTGTGAATCCTTATATGGACATTAAGAGTTTGTCTGTGTGTAAAACTCCTTCCACAATGAGGGCAGGTGTAAGACTGCTCTCCAGTATGAATTTTCATGTGGCTTTTAAGGTCTCCTTTTCGAATGAAACTATTTCCACACAGTTTGCAGGTGTATGACTTCTCTCCAGTGTGAATTCTCATGTGGCTTTTAAGGTCTCCTTTTCGAATGAAACCATTTCCACACAGTTTGCAGGTGTATGACTTCTCTCCAGTGTGAATCCTCATGTGGACTTTAAGGTTTCCTCGTTGATCAAAATTCTGTCCACACTGTTGGCAGGTGAAAAGACTTCTAGTTCCAGTCTTTTGAGCTTTTTTTTGTGAGGAAGTCTTTCCAGTCTGTGGGCAACTAAATGATATTTGTCCAGTTATGAAATCATGTTTCTTATACTGATCTGTATCTTGCATTTCATTCAGTTCTTCACTTTCCTCTTTCAGCGGCATCATGTCTAGGATGAAAAGAGACAGATGCAAGTTAACCCGTTTAAAAGCAACAGTAAGCAACAATGGCCGAATCTGCCATTCATGTCTAAAACTGGGGTGTCAAACTCAGCTTGTGGAGGGTCACAGTCCTGCGTAGTTTAACTTCAACCTGCTCCAACGCTTACCAACACCAGTACTTGAAAACTAAAGACCTTAATTCAGGTGTGTTCAGTTAGAGTAGAAACTAAACTCTGCAGGGCTGTGAGTTTGACATTCCTGGTCTAAAACGTTAAAAGAATATTGTCCTTTCAACAATGTTCAGTTTTGCAGAGAAACTATATTTGTGAACAATATCAGTAAGGATTTAAGCCCAATTTTAACATGGAAGCTTTGCTCTCTCCTAGAGCTGTAATATCTTCAAACACATAGACCACAGCATTCACTTGGACAGCTTGAGAATTGTGTAGGCACTTGTGGACAAGAATTAGTATGATATATGTCCTATCTCTTCGACTGCTACCGCTTTGTGTAAACAAAAAACAAAACAAAAAAAGAACATCTCATCAAAAACAAGTATGGAGTGCCACAGGGCTCAGTATTAGGTCTTCTGTTTCTCATGTATATATAGGTCCTCTGAGAGACATTATTATTAGATTTCACTATCATGCCAGTAACACAGTTTTATTATTTCCTCACAACCTGAAGAAACAACACAATTCTCCAAGTTAACAGGGTGTATTGAAAATATAAAATGTGGGATGGCTAGTAATTTACTTACAATTAATTATTTCTTTGGAAATTTTTTAATTCTCAATTCTGGTTTTGTAGAACAGCCTTCTTACATGCTAGAAATGCTGCAGGGTCAACAAATAAGTTCTAGTTTGTTTAAAATACAGTGGCTAGAGAGCTTATAAGACACACTGGGCCTCATTTACGAAACGGACGTACGACAGAAAATTGGGCGTACGGTCGTTTCAAAGCAAAACTTGGAATTTATCAATATGGACGTGAGTGGTGGCTACGATCAAATCTCACGTCTGGTCTCAGCTCGTGTACGCAAGTTTTTTTTTAGCCTGAACTTGCGTGCAGCATATAAATCTGGTGGAGAATTGTAGAATGATGGCATTTTGTTAGTTTAGGTTATTTTCCTGACAGACAACCGAAGCTCATTAGTCGATCACTGACCAGTAAGATTAGAATGTCTTTTTTTATTTTATTCAGGGCTTTAGCTTTATATGCGCGGATAGCGTAAACAACAGACCATGATGATTCACACATCGTTGCATCATGCACCTGCAGCGCTTCTGTGAACGTTGAAAAACTGAAATTAAGTCTATAAAAGGAATAAAACAAATAAGACCACACAAAATATATAATAGGCTATAATATAATTAACAGATTAACAAAAGGGAAAAAAAACTGTGCAACAAGTATAGGCTACGCTCGTTTTTGTGTCACTCTTAATGCATTTTATATCTTTTCTTTATATCATTATTTGATTTAATCTATCTGATTGCACAGGTGCCTCACGCACACACAAACAACATTAGTAATAGCCAGAGTTGGGTATAACGCGTTACATAGTAACAAATGCAGTGTTAAAAAATACGAAGTAAAAATCATGTTTTGCCCTATAATAAATCATCGGAGAATGCGAGCTAAAAGTATTTCTTTAGATATATTTCTCATGTCTATATGTCAAGTATTCGCTGACTTTTCGTTCATTTTAGTGACTCGTTTCAGGAAGATATTCGCGGAGACTGAGACTGCAGAAAGCGCACCCTATTGTTTTCTGTATTTTACAAAAGCAGAAAAAAAGTTTTGTTGATATTGCGAGTGTATACAAAAAAAGTAGACCTTTTACAGTTTCAAATTTTGTATTACCTACTCTTTTCTGTATGATCAAAAAGTATGAAACATCTTCAGTTCTTTTCGCTGTTATCAGGAAAAAAATGCAAGTGATCGTTCAAGTTGCTGTTTTCATACTTATGTAATTTTTCAGTCAATATTAAATTAATGAAAGAACTATGAGTTTCACTTGGTAGTGTATTGTTTAAGTTTGATCATTTGAAAACTAAGGTAAACTTGAAAGTAACTTGAAAGTAAAGTAATCAGTAATGTAATCAAATTACAATTTTAAATAAGTAATAAGTAATTTGTAGTGGATTACTTTTTTTAGTAACTTACCCAACACTGGTTATAGCGTTGCCTGACATTTCAGCCATTCATCATCAAACTAAAATGCAGTCAACCAAACATAAAAGTTGCACTGTTTATTTTAAAAGGTCCATTCTTGTTCTCTTCTGGATACCGTTAAATTAAAAATATTTGTTGTAGAGTTGTGGAGACGTGCTGAAATGGCGTTTGGTCTCGTACTGTATCGCGTGTGGTGTCAGTGTCGTGTGCTTTGCTTGGCCATTTGTTGGGATAAACAGGAAAGTGTGTCCAGCTGAATTCAATTTGAGTTTTGTTACACTAATTAAAAAGAAGCTTAGTTTACCGCGGAAGCGGTCGTGTGAAGACCGAAGAGTGTTCAAATGTTACAAATATGGCAAAAATGGAAACATTTCAGTTTTGCTTGTATGCTGTGTATAATGAATGCCACTATAGCCTAATTTGTGTTTTATTTTGTAGTATTTGTAAGTCGCTTTGGATAAAAGCGTCTGCTAAATGACTAAAAGTAAAAGTAAAGTAAGAGTGAGGGGAACTAAATAGGCTATAATTTTTATATTTACCAGTTTTTTACTATACAAAAAATTACAGAAATTAATGTAGCCTGATTGTTTGCAATTACAAGGCCATGGATAAGCAGATTCATGACCTTCTGAAGAAGCAGGCCCAGCTGCAACACCAGAGAGCCATGGTGGAAACATCCCAGGCTGATGTTCACAAGTCCGAGGTAAGTTTGTAGCATGATGCAGATACTCCCACCACCTATACTCCTTTTGTTTCCCAGCAAAGGACCCATGCACCCAGGATGTGAGCCTCCCAGGTCTCATTTACTCCGGTGTAACACATTATGGACCCTGGGTACACCAGCAGTGGACCAGACCCTGGGGGAGGAGGACTTCTGACCCTCCACTACTCTTTGTCTTTGAGATTACCAACAGAAACCCCTCCCACCCCTTTTTGCAAAACTGAATCCAGTGCTGTGATCTTTGGAGACTCCATTGTCCAGCACATCTGCATCTCATCACATAAAGCTAAGGTGCACACTGTTTTCCTGGTACCCACACATCTCCTGTACAGGTACCTTGATCATGAACGGTATTGAGAGCTGTTGTACTGCACTTGGGGTTGAACGAAATCAGGCTGCAGCAGTCAGAGATGCTGAAGAGAGACTGGCTTCTTGATTGTAATATCTGAAATATGCATTTTCTATAAAGCTTTGATCTAATGTTTTGTAAAAGATGCTATACAAATAAACACGAATTGAAGTGAATTACTGTTAGCATAAAAGCTGATGCGACCTGCTCCATGTCAAATAAAAACAACTTAAAGTAGGACACCAGACATCCCCCTCTCCGGGTGTTCTGGGAGTCTACCACATATTGATAGCAGCTCCCTGACACCCGCAAATTATATATAATATTCTAGAACCTGGCAATGTTTTGGTCAGAAAAAGGGCTAGCGAGCACATGGACGTGTGCGAAAGAGAGAGGTCAACTAGTGACAGACAATGCGAGAGAATGGCAGAGAGAACACTCTGATTGGTCTCATTTTATGCTATGTGGACCAGTCAGATTTTCTTTCTGTGGGCAGGCTTTACAGTCCACCATTCTTCTCTCTTTCATTATTCCATTCAGCCAAAAATAAGACCATTAGTGTCCTGTAGCCACAGCATGTCATTTGGCATGGCAGTTCTCATTTTGTTGAATCTGTCCACTGATTTTTACACAGTTTACTATCAGATCCTCCTGTCAACCTTCATGGCAAAGGGCATTTTTAGGAACCACATTTCAAAGATTCAAGTCTTACCTCCTCTCAGGTAGGTGCCTCAGGGTGTCTTGGAGGGGTGAGGTGTCCAAGTCGCAACATCTAGCTACAGGGGTACCTCAAGGCTCAGTGCTTGGACCTCTTATCTTCTCCATCTGCACATCATCACTAAGATCTGTCATTCAGAAACATAGCTTTTCCTATCACTGCTATGCTAATGATACTCAACTCTACCTCTCATTCCAGCTTGATGTGACCATAGCTTCTTGTTGGATGAAGGACCATCACTTTCAAATTCACTCAGCCAAGACAGAATTGCTTGTGATTTTGGCCAACCCAACGTTTCATCACAACTTCACCATACATTATAACTCATTCCAAGACAGCCAGGAACCTTGGAGTTGTGATTAATGATCAGTTGAACTTAACAGACCACACTGCTAGAACTGCCTGATGCAGCAGATTTGCCTTAATACAACATTAGGAAGATCAGGCTACACAACTCCTTGTTCAAGCTCTTGTTCTATCTAGGCTGGACTATTCTCTCTGGACAGGTCTTCCAGCCAATTCTATCAAACCTCTGCAACTAATCCAGAATGCGGCAATGAGAGAGGTCTTTAATGAGCCAACGAGAGTGCACATCACATGTCTGTTCATCACTTTGCACTGGTTGCCAATAGCCAGTCGCATCAAATTCAAGGCACTAATGTTTGCCTACAGAACAACCACTGGCTTTGCACCCCATACCTAAACTCACTACTTCAGACTTATGTGCCCTCCGGAGGCTTGCGTTCTGCATATAAACGGTGCATTGTTAAAGATGTAGGAAAGTATTTTTTCATGTCATGGCGACACACTTGGGTGTGCCTTGTATTAGTTATCCTTGTAAAAAAAAATGTACGGGCCGGAAGGGCGTGTTTAGGCGTGTCTGTGCTTTTAATTACCTTTGTTTAAAAAAAAAAAAAAATTCAATCAACTATCATAAACTATATATCATTTGAAAGATAAAACACTCAAGATCCATGTTCTGTTTTTTAAATCAATACACCAGAGAGGAAAGGGTTAACATAAATGCTGAAGGACCGGCCATTTAAACATGTACAAAGTGAACGGCAGTCCTTACGTTTCATCGCCTATAGTTCTGGTCAGCTCTGACTATTCCAAGAAACACCAGCACACAAGGTAAGGGTCCACTCTTCAAAATGCATCCCACTTTTTAATCCAAAACAATGAAAAAATAGGGGGGAAAACGAAAGATCCTCCTTTGTTTACATGAGCGATTCAAGTTATAGTTGTCAATAACGTTCATTTTCAAAAAAATATCGATTCTAATTCGTATTCCAGCGTTGAAGGAGAAGGAGCCAGTCAGTCCCTGCTGTGTCCCCTAGCACCTCACAGAAAAGATGGCATAATGTGGATGAGGATGACATTGGGCCTCCCAAGCCTGTGTTTAGGCCTGCTCGTGAACTTGGGCCACAGTTGGTGACAACTGCATCATACACAGCACTGCAGTTGTTTCAGCTTTTCTTTTCTTCATCTGTGCTGCAAACCATCATTCAGCACACAAATGCCTATGGATCCAAAAATCAGCAGGGAAGAGACAAGCCATGGCATAACATCTCTGTAGAAGACTTGAAGTCTTACCTGGCACTTGTTGTGTACATGGGTCTTGTGAAGGTCTCTGCTGTGACTGATTATTGGAGGAGGTCTCAAATCTATAGTGTTCCCCTTCCTGCTAAGATCATGTCCTGTAGGAAGTTTCTGAACATCACAAACGCTCTTCATCTTAGCGATCCTCAGGATGATGATGAAAATGAAAAGAAGAAGGGTACAGCAGCCTACGACCGCTTGGGGAAGATCAAGCCTCTCTATGACAACATGAGGGATGCCTGCAGAACATTTTTTCATCCAAGTCAGAACATCTCCATAGATGAGAGGATGGTGTCATCAAAGGCGAGGTCTGGACTAAAGCAATACATGAAGAACAAACCCACTAAATGGGGCTACAAGCTTTTTGTCTTGGCAGACTCACTAAGTGGTTACACCTGTGAGTTCTTCGTGTATGAGGGTAAGTCCATGCCATCTCGGAATGGGCTGAGCTATGAGTCTGTCATGGCACTCATAGATGAAAAGATGTTGGGCACTGGTTACAAGCTGTTCGTTGACAACTTTTACACCAGTCCCATGCTTTTCAGAGACCGCCTCTCTAAGAGGATTTGGGCATGTGGCACCATTCGTCCAAACAGGATTGGTTTCCCAAAGACAACCACCAACAGACTGCCGCGGAATGCTCCACGAGGGTCCATGCGATGGCTCCGAGAGGATGAGCTGCTGTTTGTGGAATGGAAAGACACCCGGGAAGTACTGATGTGTTCTACATTCCACAAAGCATATGAAGGTGACACGGTGCAAAGGAGGGTGAAGAACAATGATGGGCAGTGGTCTCAAGTGCATGTGCCTATTCCAGGTGCTGTGCTGGACTACAACAGGTTCATGGGGGGAGTGGACCTGTCCGATGCCCTCATTGGATACTACAAAGTGCTCCACAAGACACGGAAGTGGTATAAGACCTTCTTTTACCACTTTGTAGATATTGCTGTTGTCAATGCCTTCATTTTGCATCAGCATCTGGCCAGAGCAAAAAAGGAAAGACCCCTGACCCAGAAAGCATTCAGGGAAACACTTGTTCTGGAACTTGCAGGGTTGGAATCGGGCACAGCTGCTCCTCAGGCTTCAAAAGTGGATTGCCACAATCCGAAGCACGTCACGGATGACAGCACTGCTGGACGACGAAAGTGCAAGCTTTGCCATCAGAAGACACCAGTCGTGTGTGCAACCTGTGAGGTGCCACTGTGTTTTTTACCAAAACGGGACTGTTTCAATGACTGGCATGAGCAGGGTGGGAAATATTAATTAATGTGTTTTTTTATCATGCTTGAACTGTTTTTAGTTTACATGTTACATTGTTCAAAAAGTTCAAATGTAATAGTTGTTCCAGAAATGTTTCCAAGTTTAGGTGGATACATCAGACCCTGAAAAATAGTTCTGAGGAGGGAGATGAAGGGAGAGAAGCCATTGCTGGTGTGAGACTGTAACAGCGAGGGATGCATGACCAGTAAGTTTCGATCCTGATTCTTTCTGTTATAGGGAGCTTTTGTGTTCCATCTAATGCACACATTAGAAAAAAAAGATTTCCTAGGCTTGAAACCCATAGCTTTGATTTATTCTAATTTCCTAATTCTAATTTATTCTAATTTTCTTTGTTCCGCTTACACAGTTTTTGCTCTCTCTTTTTCCCTCTTATCTGCAGTGGGTGTCTTCTGAGTCGGCGCAGTTGAAGCAAGTGTGACAGGCTGGCATGAGGCAGTATAGGTTAGTTTTCACACATACATACACACACACACACACACACACACACACGTGTATACACAGTGTTGCAAATTTGATTTGTTCTGCTTCCACACTTTCCCACTTTCTCTTTCTCCCTTTCTTGTCTTTCAGTGGCTTTGTTTTCCAGTCGGTTAGAGGACAAACCTTCTTAGTGACTGCCTTGAGTGTCTTCCTATATGTTGTAAAAGTTGCTTTAGTTTTTCAGTAACTGGATAATTATCATAATTAGCAGTTTACTGTTTTAGACTTATTTGAATGAAAAACTGTTAGTTGCAAATGTTGTAAAAAAAAAAAAAGTTTTGTTTGTTCATTAGTTCTAAAATGATCACTGATCAAAGAGGTTAAAGAACCATCTTTTTTTTAGAGTGTAGCTTTGTAAACACAAGAACATTCCGAAACGTTTTATAAAAAACATTACACCATCTCAGGCCTCAATGATGTCCTTATAAAGTTCTCCTAATGTGGCTGAGAGAATGTTCTTCCTTCGTTTTATTGACAACATTGTACAATCTGTTACATTAAAAAAAAACATCCTCAAAATGTTGCAGGTAAAATGTTCCAGCTTTGTTAATATGTCACATTACAAGAAAGTTTTATAAACACATTTCATCACCTCCGGCCTCAATGACATCCTTATAACATTCTCCTAATGTGGCTGAGAGAATGTTCGTCCTTTGTTATCTTGAAACATTGTAACACTGTTTTACTGACAACATTATATAATCTGTTACCTCAACAACATCCACAAAACATCCATAAAATGTTGCAGGTAAAATGTTCTAACGTTGTTTACACTTTACATTATAGAAACATTATCTGAAATGAGCAACATTCTTAAAACATTTTTTGAACATTACATTCAAAATGTTTTCTCTAAAACATCAACCAAACCTGTACGGAATGTTAGCCAAAGTTCTGAGAACGTTCCCTGCTAGCTGGGCAGTATGGTGAGATGACCTGTGACAAGTGGACTGTTTGAAAGTGTCACATGGGGATAATGTGTTTGTCATTGGAAATGACATTTGTAGAATACATAACATTCTGGAAAGCAGTGATGGAGTGTATGTAGTATACAAAGAATTTTCAGAGAAGTCTTTGTTCTTCACTTACCCATTCAACTCTGACTATCTGAAAATCTATACTATTTCACAAACATCTGATATACTCAAGTGTGCAAAGGCTTCAGCGATTGTTCAAAAATTTGTCGTTTTACCTCATAGGGACGGTTTTGTGTCCATACCCGTATTTCATACATTATAGGAATGTCTCATTCTTTGAGAACCAACAAAAAAACTCCAGTTTAGCTTGTTGTTTTATTGTTTCCTGAGGAGAATGATGGTGGTAGTATTGATGGTGTAATATTAGTTGTAGCTCTTGTTCTAGTATTAGCAGTTAGAATTGATGCGGTTGCACATTAGTGTTGACCGGATAGATGTTTATGCAAAATGAGGGTCAGAGACCAACAAAAAATTACATCACCTTGCATAGCCACAAACACTGCAGTCTATCTGAAAATGGATAATAATTGCCTCTAAGTACTTTAAGTTTGCTTGTATTTTTATTTTAGTCATATATAGTTATATATAGCACATTATACAATACAGATTGACTCAAAGTAGCTTTACAGTAAATTGTCAGATTATTGTTGATTCAATTAAGTTCAGTAAGAATGTAAATGTTACAAAGGCCATAAATTATGAAAAGCCTTCATAGACACCACAGTTGACCTATCCCCTCCCCTCGAACGCAGATGAGCCAGTGGCAGTCGAGTATCAGTTGCGCAGGGACCAGTACTCGGACATCTTTAGGTTTCAAATCCGAAGCTCTAATCATAGTGTTTATGCTACAAAAACAGCAAAAGGATGTGCCTGGAGTACTTATAATGGAGCCTGCCTATCCTATCAGGACACCTGGAATCAATGGAATTTGGATTTTTTTTTTATTATTCAACGTTCATTTTTTGGTTGTCATACTCTCATTAAGTTCAATCATATTTAAGTCCTACTTGAGTGTTCCTCGACGAGAGGTGGTCCTTCTGTGTCCAGAACTTATCAAAAACATCTTGGGATAAGGTTTTCAGACAGAGCTATCATTGTAAGACAGGGGCAACTCCGTTTGTTTGTCCGAGGCAGCAACAGTAACTAAGTGGGGTGGGGCTTACCGATAGGTCAATAGTGTCAATAATCCATCTCTATCTACTTGAAATATTGTTCTCATCTGATAGTGTCTGTGCAGTCTAATCAATAACATTTTCTTTATATTTTCAGAATGTTAAATTTCTGTGTGGTGCTGTGTGTTCCTTTCCTTCTCAGTTAAGGATGTTCCACTTAATCGAGTTCCTGATCAACAAAACAGTAGCAGTGGTGCCACAAAACTGGTGCAGCGATGGAGTTGTCTATTGGCCAAATTACAGAAATGATGAAAGAGTGGACAGGGCAGTGAAAAATGCAGAGGAACCTGGACCTGACTGGAAAACCTTTGATGTCAGAATTATTAAATCATGTGGTATGCTAATTCACAAAAAAAATATTTTAAATGGCTATTGTAAGCAAATACACACACACACACACACACACACACACGTGTATACACAGTGTTGCAAATTTGATTTGTTCTGCTTCCACACTTTCCCACTTTCTCTTTCAGTGGCTTTGTTTTCCAGTCGGTTAGAGGACGAACCTTCTTAGTGACTGCCTTGAGTGTCTTCCTATACTTTGTAAAAGTTGCTTTAGTTTTTCAGTAACTGGATAATTATCATAATTAGCAGTTTACTGTTTTAGACTTATTTGAATGAAAAACTGTTAGTTGCAAATGTTGTAAAAAAAAAATTATTTTGCACGTTTTGTTTGTTCATTAGTTCTAAAATTATCACTGATCAAATCTGTTTTTGTTTCACTGTTTTTGTTATTAGAATTGTTCAAAATAAAGACTAGTTAGAATGTTCAAATGTTGTTCTGAAATTTCTGAATTGATATACATATATGCATTATGTAGTTTTGACTCATTTGGTTACCAGGTGTCCATTTGGAGTCTCCAAGTGGCCTTTTTGAAACGACGCCTAGACTTTTTTTTTTTTTAGGAAAAAAGCTAACAGAATCTACATTTTTGGGAGTATCATCCTCAAATTTGAATCAAAACATGGTCAGAGATTCAGCTTTACCTTTGTGGTGTTTTCAGGCCTTTAAAATAAAAGTTTCATCCATTTTTCCCTTGGTGAAGTTCATTCAAATAAATTGTAAGTCACTTTCATGTATATTTTACCATGTTTTACTCTGTTACTCTTTTGAGTTATTATGACTCTTGGGTAACAGAGTTTCAAGTGTCTAGTTTCAAACAAGACCAGATTTGTGAATATAGACCACAGGGTTCAAGAGCTACAGACATTTTTATTTGGATATGTCGTTTTTCAGAAAATGCTTAAAAATAGGGGCGCAGGTTAAGAATCTACCATGCAAACAGATTTTGATTACCTTAATCCGGCTAAAGATCGAATTAAGACATGTGGAGTATTCCTATTTTAGTTGCGCGGTATAGACATGTACACACCTTAATCACAGTATTACCATAGTGTAATAGCCGCATTTTGCGACTGTATACACACACGGCAGTGTTCAACCGTTTGACGGCAAACAAAAGAGCATGAATTTTTATCTGCCGTCGTCTGTTTGCACGTATAGCATGACAAATAATTAACTGCACTTTTAAGCTTTCGTAAAATTAACAAATATGGTACCATAACGAAGACGAACTTGTATGTTGATATGTGAAATTCTGGAGGGGACGTCGGATGGCGTCACGTGGTGACGTAATGACGTGCGCCATTAATCGATCTATGCACTATAACATGAAAAACGGGAACATAAAAGGAATATTCTAAAAGCAACTCATGTAAACACCTTAATCGTAATATTGTCTTATTCAGAATAAGGTAAATAATTAGATTACTGATGTCCATGTAAACGTAATCAATGATGGTTGGGGAAAGTAGAATAGTAGAAGCGATAATGCACCAATTTCAACAAAGAATTATGAGTTTCACAAAAGAGCATGGGACACGATAAAGGGGAAGGTAACATGACAGTAGATTATGGACTTGCAAATATGTAAAAATAAGAGGAATTTTAAAATTGTGATTCAGGCCAAGAAAAATCAAAACATTTGAAAAAAGTATGGAATTTTTCCTAGTGAAATTTAAATTACTTTTGGTACAATAAACAATACTAAGTCATTTGTCTTCTTATGAAGCCGACAAAAGCAATGATATCATGTGTGAGAAGGAATACGCCATTTTAGCCAAGTACTATAATACAACAAAGGATCAGGTAATGGCTGGATTTGTAGACATGCCAGTTTGCAATGATGCCAAAGCTGAAAACATATTCAGCGGCATTTTACGATTTGTTGCTTGTGATACCTCCCTGGATTGGGTTTTTGCAGGGTGGGATGTCTGGGACACTCATATGATATTCTTCAAAAATATCATTCATTTCTGTAGAGCTGGGCATTTTAATAAGGATTAAATGAGTGCGTTCAGCTTTGAGAATGAAAACTAACCTGTTTGTTCCTCAGTATCTTCACGTTTGACTCTGAATGCTTCTTCAATCCTCATGTCTTCACTCTCCTCTTTAATAAACGCCATCTTTATAATAGTGTGTCACGTGTGTCTCAGTGGCTTCAGCAGGAGTTTTTCTGTGTGTTTAAGATGAGAATAATTAACAGAAAGAAAAATAAATCCAAACTAAATCTCTGGGTGTGTCTCAATCAGCTCCCTAGTTCAGTAGTCAGCGCTAATGGCCTTAAATGACCTGATTAGCCCAAAACACTTAAACTAGCTACAAATGAATAAAACAAAACAAATGAAGGCATTTATGATTTACATTCTGTATACTGATTTGTAGATTACGTTTCATAGATTAAACTTTCATGACAATATTGGCTATTGTTTGTCGTTTACACTGTTTTGAGCAGCAGGGGCCCGTTCTTCGTACCTCGCTTAATACATCTGAGGTGATTTGAAAGATGCCAGGTCTTCTAACTAGGGCTGCACGATAAATCGAAATGGAATCGAGATGTCGATTCGACAGAAGCTGCGATTGTCGTGCGTATCTTTCAGTGAAGCACGGTTCTGTGATCAGCAGTAAATCTCCATCCAAAGGCCAGAGGGCGCTCTCGCGCTGAAACGCCAAATACGCCTCGCAGAAGAAACCCAGAAAATGCCTATCGCTGCAGCTGAATAAACAAGATTTAACTGCTTTCATTGATTCAAACACACGACTACGGCAATATACGGTTTATCTGAGTTCTTATTATTATAATTTTCATTAAAATAAAGTATATTTATAATGCAATGCCTTTATCACTGCTTAAATACTATGAAATATGTTGCGTGCCTTATTCTGTGTAAGAAGCCACATCATCTCACAGAAGGATTTATTTCAAACACTCGACTGACGTTATGAAGTGAGTTTGGAGTAAAAATATGTTATTGCTAACTGAGTTAGCGGCGTACGAAGAACGGGCCCCAGATCCAGCCTCCACACCAGACCTCTCTCTCATATGGATTGCTGTCTACTAGCATATTATGTGTTCTCTTCAGACTTAGGGGCATGCAGATATTACTCAGGGACAGGAACACTTGAATACTGTGAGAATAGGTACCTTATTTAAGAAATTAATGTTAATTGCACTGAAACATTAAATGTGTTTTTAATTTTAAAAAGCTGTAATCAGCTGTAATTTAACAATTTTTTCGTTATTCCAAACTAGTATGACTTTGCTAGATGTTAAGAGGAGATATTAAACATAATGTTCCTTATTCACCATTCACTTTGAACTACAACATTACCTAATTGCAACCAAAATACGAAGAAAGGGCCCCGGGTGTCGTCAGAGTGCGGTGATTCGAGCGATTCGAATCACTGAGTCATTTCAAGAAGCGATTGATTCAGTTGACTCGCCGTTTCTCCATCATCACTACTCGCCAGTGACTCCAGTGACTTTTATGATCAACTGGTTCACGGTAAAGATAGCCAAATGAGACTCACCTTTTCTGTTGCTTGTGTTGCTTGTGAGTACAACATATACTTTATTAATGTCGGAGAAAGCATTACAATGCTACATTCAATAACAACTAATTCGTTTTACAGTTGCTGTTAAAACAACCAAATGGACTGAATGAGTCATATCTATTTAAACCATTTAAATGCTTTAAAATCACTAACCTTTCTTCATCCGAATCACAACAGATGCAGGAGCCCGGTGCAGCCCTATGACGTCACACCACAAAACCAAAATAAACAAAATAAAAACACGCTGATCTCTAAAATCAGAAACGTGCACAGAAAATTACACACAAATAATGTAAATAATGTAAATAATGAGAACAGAGTTTATTTCTTGTTAATATATATATATATATATATATGTTAAATTCATGTCACCGAATCATGTGCATGTTAAAATATTAGGAACTACAAGTAAAATTATTAATCGTGATTAATCGCATTCCAAAATACGTTTTTGTTTACATAATATGTGCGTGTACTGTGTATATTTATTATATATATATAAAATACAAACACATGCATGTATATATTTAAGAAAAATATATTATGTTTATATATTAAATATATTTGTATATAATTTATATGAATATAAATATGTACATGTAAATA